ACACTGCAGCACTGAAGCATCACCCAGCAATCACTGCCAACACTGAAAGCGTCACCCCAGCATCACTGCCAACACTGAAGGCATCACCCCAACAATCACTGCCAACACTGAAGCATTCACCCCACATCACTGCCAACACTGAAGCGTCACCCCAGTATCACTGCCAACACTGAAGCATCACCCAGCAGCACTGCCAACACTGAAGCATCACCCAAGCATCACTGCACACACTGAAGCATCACCCCAGCGTCACTGCCAACACTGAAGCATCACCCAGCATCACTGCCAACACTGAAGCATCACCCAGCGTCACTGCCAACATGAAGCATTCACCCAGCATCACTGCCAAACACTGGAACCATCACGCAGCATCACTGCCAACACTGAAGCATCACCCAGCATCACTGCCAACACTGAAGCATCACCCAGCATCACTGCCAACACTGAAGCATCACCCAGCATCACTGCCAACATGAAGCATCACCCAAGCATCACTGCCAACACTGAAGCATCATCCCAGCATCACTGCCAACACTGAAGGATCACCCCAGCATCACTGCCAACACTGAAGCATCACCCCAGCATCACAGCCAACACTGAAGCATCACCCCAGCATCACTGCCAACACTGAAGCATCACCCCAGCATCACTGCCAACACTGAAGCATAACCCCAGCGTCACTGCCAACACTGAAGCATCTCCCCAGCATCACTGCCAACACTGAAGCATCACGCCAGCATCACTGCCAACACTGAAGCATCACCCCAGCATCACTGCCAGCACTGAAGCATCATTATCACCCCAGCATCACTGCCATCACTGAAGCATCATCATCACCCCAGCATCACTGCCAACACTGAAGCATCATTATCACCCCAGTATCACTGCCAACACTGAAGCATCACCCCAGCATCACTGCCAACACTGAAGCATCACCCCAACATCACTGCCAACACTGAAGCATCACCCCAGCGTCACTGCCAACAATGAAGCATCCACCCACATCACTGCCAACACTGAAAGCATCACCCCAGCGTCACTGCCAACACTGTAAGCATCACCCTGCATCACTGCCAACACTGAAGCATCAACCGAGCCTCAACTGCCAACACTGAGCATTCACCCAGCATCATGCCAACACTGAAGCATACCCCAGCATCACTGCCAACACTGAGCATCACCCCAGCATCACTGCCAACACTGAAGCATTCACCCAGCATCACTGCCAAACATGAAGCATCTACCAGCGTCACTGCCAACACTGAAGAATCACCCCAGCTTCACTGCCAACACTGAAGCATCACGCCAGCATCATGACCAACACGTATGAAGCATCACCCCGCATCACTGCCAACACTGAACCATACCCCGAGCATTCATGCCAACAATGAAGCATCACCCCAGCATCACTGCCAACACTGAAGCATCACCCCAGCATCACTGCCAACACTGAAGCATCACCCCAGCATCACTGCCAACACTGAAGCATCACCCCAGCGTCACTGCCAACACTGAAGCATCACCCCAGCATCACTGCCAACACTGAAGCATCACGCCAGCGTCACTGCCAACACTGAAGCATCACCCAGATCACTGCCAACACTGAAGCATCACTCCAGCATCACTGCCAACACTGAAGCATCACCCCAGCATCACTGCCAACACTGAAGCATCACCCCAGCATCACTGCCAACAACTATATCTGAACCTTTATGGGCTACGACTTAAAATCATTTTTAAAGACCAATTTACGCTCACCTTCATGTAATTGTTAACTTCAGAACCTTGGTAGTTAAGAGTCAGTGTAAATGTCAGAATCTTGGTAGTTAAGAGTCAGTGTAAATGTCAGAACCTTGGTAGTTAAGAGTCAGTGTAAATGTGAGAACCTTGGTAGTTAAGAGTCAGTGTAAATGTCAGAACCTTGGTAGTTAAGAGTCATTGTAAATGTGAGAACCTTGGTAGTTAAGAGTCAGTGTAAATGTCAGAACCTTGGTAGTTAAGAGTCAGTGTAAATGTCAGGACCTTGGTAGTTAAGAGTCAGTGTAAATGTCAGTACGTTGTTAGTTAAGAGTCAGTGTAAATGTCAGAACCTTGGTAGTTAAGAGTCAGTGTAAATGTCAGTACGTTGTTAGTTAAGAGTCAGTGTAAATGTCAGAACCTTGGTAGTAAAGAGTGAGTGTAAATGTCAGAACCTTGGTAGTTAAGAGTGAGTGTAAATGTCAGAACCTTGGTAGTTAAGAGTCAGTGTAAATGTCAGAACCTTGGTAGTTAAGAGTCAGTGTAAATGTCAGAACCTTGGTAGTTAAGAGTCAGTGTAAATGTCAGAAACCTTGGTAGTTAAGAGTCAGTGTAAATGTCAGTACCTTGGTAGTTAAGAGTCAGTGTAAATGTCAGAACCTTGGTAGTTAAGAGTCAGTGTAAATGTCAGAACCTTGGTAGTTAAGAGTCAGTGTAAATGTCAGAACCTTGGTAGTTAAGAGTCAGTGTAAATGTCAGGACCTTGGTTGTTAAGAGTCAGTGTAAATGTCAGTACCTTGGTAGTTAAGAGTCAGTGTAAATGTCAGTACCTTGGTAGTTAAGAGTCAGTGTAAATGTCAGAACCTTGGTAGTTAAGAGTCAGTGTAAATGTCAGAACCTTGGTAGTTAAGAGTCAGTGTGAATGTCAGAACCTTGGTTGTTAAGAGTCAGTGTAAATGTCAGAACCTTGGTAGTTAAGAGTCAGTGTAAATGTCAGAATCTTGGTAGTTAAGAGTCAGTGTAAATGTCAGAACCTTGGTAGTTAAGAGTCAGTGTAAATGTCAGAACCTTGGTAGTTAAAAGTCAGTGTAAATGTCAGAACCTTGGTAGTTAAGAGTGAGTGTAAATGTCAGTACGTTGTTAGTTAAGAGTCAGTGTAAATGTCAGAACCTTGGTAGTTAAGAGCCAGTGTAAATGTCAGTACGTTGTTAGTTAAGAGTCAGTGTAAATGTCAGAACCTTGGTAGTTAAGAGTGAGTGTAAATATCAGAACCTTGGTAGTTAAGAGTCAGTGTAAATGTCAGAACCTTGGTAGTTAAGAGTCAGTGTAAATGTCAGAACCTTGGTAGTTAAGAGTCAGTGTAAATGTCAGAACCTTGGTAGTTAAGAGTGAGTGTAGATGTCAGAACCTTGGTAGTTAAGAGTCAGTGTAAATGTCAGAACCTTGGTAGTTAAGAGTCAGTGTAAATGTCAGAACCTTGGTAGTTAAGAGTCAGTGTAAATGTCAGAACCTTGGTAGTTAAGAGTCAGTGTAAATGTCAGAACCTTGGTAGTTAAGAGTCAGTGTAAATGTCAGAACCTTGGTAGTTAAGAGTCAGTGTAAATGTCAGAACCTTGGTAGTTAAGAGTCAGTGTAAATGTCAGAACCTTGGTAGTTAAGAGTCAGTGTAAATGTCTGAACCTTGGTAGTTAAGAGTCAGTGTAAATGTCAGAACCTTGGTAGTTAAGAGTCAGTGTAAATGTCAGAACCTTGATAGTTAAGAGTCAGTGTAAATGTCTGAACCTTGTTAGTTAAGAGTCAGTGTAAATGTCAGAACCTTGGTAGTTAAGAGTCAGTGTAAATGTCAGAACCTTGGTAGTTAAGAGTCAGTGTAAATGTCAGAACCTTGGTAGTTAAGAGTCAGTGAAAATGTCAGAACCTTGGTAGTTAAGAGTCAGTGTAAATGTCAGAACCTTGGTAGTTAAGAGTCAGTGTAAATGTCAGAACCTTGGTAGTTAAGAGTGAGTGTAAATGTCAGAACCTTGGTAGTTAAGAGTCAGTGTAAATGTCAGAACCTTGGTAGTTAAGAGTCAGTGTAAATGTCAGAACCTTGGTAGATTAAGAGTCAGTGTAAATGTCAGAACCTTGGTAGTTAAGAGTCAGTGTAAATGTCAGAACCTTGGTAGTTAAGAGTCAGTGTAAATATCAGAACCTTGGTAGTTAAGAGTCAGTGTAAATGTCAGTACCTTGGTAGTTAAGAGTCAGTGTAAATGTCAGAACCTTGGTAGTTAAGAGTCAGTGTAAATGTAAACTCTGCCGACGGCTGAGTGTATGTGTGTGTGTGTGTGTGTGTGTGTTGTGTGTGTGTGTGTGTGTGTGTGTACTTATCTAGTTGTGGTTGCAGGGGTCGATTCGCAGCTCCTGGTTCCTCCTGTGTGTGTGTGTGTGTGTGTGTGTTCATGTGTGTGTGTTTGTGTGTGTGTGTGTTCATGTGTTTGTGTGTGTGTGTACTCGCCTGTTTGTGGTTGCAGGGGTCGAGTCATTCCTCCTGGCCCCGCCTCTAAACTGATAGCTACTGTGTCCTCTCTCTGCTCCATGAGCTTTATCAAACCTTGTCTTAAAACTAAGTATAGTTCCTGCCTCCACTACGTCACTTTCTAGGCCATTCCACTGCCTGACAACTCTGACTGAAGAAATACTTCCTAACGTGCCTTTGATTCACAGGACTCTTTCAACTTCCAATTGCGATCCATTGTTTCTGTGTCGCATCTCTGGAACATCTTGTGTTTGTCCAACTTTTCAATTCCTCCCAATATTTTATATATCGTTATCATGTCTCCCCTGACCCTCCTGTCCTCCAGTGTCGTCAGGCCGATTTTCCTTAACCTTTATTAATAGGTCAATTCCCTTAGCTCTGGAACTAGTCTTGTTGCAAACCTTTGCACTTTCACTAATTTCTTGAAGTGCTTGACCAGGTGTGGATTCCAAACTGGTGCTGCATACTCCAGTATGGGGAATTCTCAGGTTTGCCCGACGCCTGTATGCTGCAGCAGTTGTCTGATTGATGTGCGCCTCAGGAGATGTGCTCGGTGTTACAATCACCTCATGATCTTTTTTCCGTGTGTGTGTGTGTGTGTGTGTGTGTGTGTGTGTGTGTGTGTGTGTGTGTGTGTGTGTGTGTGTGTGTTCAACTCTTAAGGAAAATAATCCAGGTTCAATTCCCAGCCACTTGCTGAGAGTACAGTGTGGGCTCCCCACTCACCAAGAGTACAAAATGGGCTCACCTGAAGGTCTGGGTGAGTCCGCCATCAGCCCCCGGCTGACAGGTGATGTGCAGTGATCCAGCTGACTGGTTGGTCAGCACACAATATCTGACACTATCAGGAGCACCTACAGGACGAAAGAAAACTGGATTATTTGAAACATCCCCAATTTTGACTATATTAATGAATCCCAACTGGGATTATCTTACTGAACATTTTTTAATTATTTTGATAACCATCTTTATTAACTTTTTTATAACCCATCGGCCGTTTCCCGCCAAGGTACGGTGACCCAAAATAGAAGAAACACTTTCATCACCATTCACTCCATCACTACTTTGCCAGAGGCATGCTTGCACTACAGTTATAAAACTGCAACATTAACACCCCTCCTTCAGAGTTCAGACACTGTACTTCCCATCTCCAGGACTCAAGTCCGTTTTGTCGGTTTCCTTGGATTGCTTCACACATGTTACCTTGCTCACACTCCAACAGCATGTCAAGTCCTAAAAACCATTCATCTCCACTCGCTCCTGTCTAACACGCTGGAAGTCTAAGCCTCTTGCATACAAAAACTCCCTTCAACCTTTCCTAGACCGACATCTACCCCGCCTTCCTTTTACTACAGATTTATATGCACTGAAAGTCACTATTTTGCTCAATCTTTTCTGAATGTCCGAACCACCTCAACGACCCTTCCTTAGCCCTCTGGATATTACTTTTAAGTAACCTCACACCTCCTAATTTCCAAACTATGGATTCTCGGCATTACATTGCTCTCAGACATGATATTTCCACTGCCTCCAGCCTTCTCCTTGTTGCAACATTCACCACCCATCCTTCACACCCATAAAGGATTGTTGGTATAACTATACTCAACTATACTCACATACATGGTTAGCGTTGTCTCCACAGACTCCTCCGTGCACCACTCACCTTTTCCCCCTTCATCAATTCTGTGGTTCACATCGTCTTTCACAGACCCATCTGCTGACAAGTCCACCCCTAAATATCTGAATATATTCACTTCCTCCATATTCTCTTCCTCCAATCTGATATCCAGTCTTTCATTACCTAAAATTTTATCCTCATAACCTTAAACTTTCCTATATTCACTTTTAATATTTCCTTCTTTTACATACCCTACCAAACTCGTCCACCAACCTTTGCAACTTCTCTTCAGAATCACCCAAAAGCACTGTGTCATAAAAAAAGTAACTAAGACAATTCCCACTTTGTGTTATATTCTATATCTTTTAACTCCACACCTCTTGCCAATACCCGAACATTCACCTCTCTTACAACTTCATCAATAAATATATTAAACAACCACGGTAACATCACACATCCTTGTCTAAGGCCTACTTTTACTGGGAAATAATCTCCCTCTCTCCTACATATTCTAACCTGAGTCTCACTATCCTCGTAAAAACTACTATTCACTACTTTCAGTAACCTACCTTCTATTCCATACATCTGCAACATCTGCCACACTGCCCCCTATCCACCCTATCATAAGCCTTTTCCAAATCCATAAATACTACAAAAACCTCTTTACCCTTATCAAAATACTCTTCACCTATATGTTTCACTGTAAGCACTGGGTCTACACACCCCCTACCTTTGTTAAAGTCTCCTTGTTTATCTGCTATCCTACTCTCTGTCTTACTGTTAATTCTTTCAATAATGACTAACGTACACTTTACCAGAAATGCTCAGACTTATTTTTTTTATTTTTTTAACTCATCGGCCGTTTCCCACGAAGGTAGGGTGGCCCGAAAGAGGAAAAAAGCTTTCATTATTCATTCCTTTACTGTCTTGCCAGAGGCATCCTTTCACTACAGTTATAAAACTGCAACATTAACACTCCTCCAAAGTGCAGACATTGTACTTCCCATCACCAGGAATCAAGTCAGGCCTGCCAGTTTCCTTGAATCCCTTCATAAATGTTACCTTGCTTACACTCCAACAGCACGTCAAGTCCTGAAAGCCATTTGCCTCCACTCGCTCCTATCTTAACATGCTCACGCATACTTACTGAAATTCCTTCACCCCCTCCCTCCAACCATTCCTAGGATGACCCCTACCTCGCCTTCCTTCCATTACAGATTTATACACCCTCCAAGTCATTCTATTTTCTTATATCACTTCTAAATTTCCGAACTACACTTCAACAACCCTTTCTCAGCCCTCTGGGTAATACTTTTACTAACCCCGCACCTCCTTCTAATCTCCAGCTTACGGGATCTCTGCATAACATTCACACTACACATTACCCTCGGACATGACACCTCCAGCTATCTCCTTGTAGCAACATTCACCACCCATGCTTCACATTCATAAAAGAGCTTTGTTACCAATGCATTCTCCTCTTTGCTTCTGTGGTCAACGTCCTTTGTCTCCACAGACTCCTCAGTGCACCACTCACTGTTTTTCCCCACTTCAATTCTAAGGTTCACTTCGTCTTTAAGACCCTTCTAATGACTAGTGAACTCCCAGATAATTGAACTCATTCACTTCCTCCACACACCCTCTCTCTAACCTGATATCCAATATTCCATTACTTATTTTTTTTTATTCTCATCACCTTTGTTTTTCCTATATTCACTTTCAATTTCCATATTTTACACACCATCCCAAATTCGTCCACCAACTTCTGCAACTTCTCTTCAGAATCTTCAAAAAGCACAGTGTCATCAGCAAAATCATCTGTAAAAACTCCCACTTTGTATTAGATTCCCTATCTTTTAATCCCACACTTCTTGCCAACACCAGTGCATTTGCCTCTCTTAAAACCCCATTAATAAATATATTGAACAACCATGGTAACATCACACTCCCTGTCTAAGTCCTACATTTACTGGGAAATTATCTCCCTCTCCCCTACTTACCTTAACTGAGCCTCATTATTCTCAATAAATCACTCATCTGTTTTCATTAACCTACCACATATTCCATACACCTGCAACATCTCTAACATTGCTTTCCTATCCCCCGTATCATATGCCTTTTCCAAATTCGTAAACGCAGCGAAAAGCTCTTTACCCTTATCTAAACACTTGTATACTTCACTGTCAACAATTGGTCTATACCCCCTACCCTTCCTAAAGCCTCATTGTTTATCTGCCATCCTGTTCTGCGTCTTACTTTTAATCCTTTCAGTAGTAACTACCATACACTTTACTAGGTATTCTCAAGAGGCTTATTCCACTATAATTATTTTTTTTGTCCCCTTTGCCATTATAGAAAGGAGCTAAGCATGTTCTCTGTCAATCCCTAGATACCTTCTCTTGCTAATAAATTTATTAAATAAAAGCTGAATCATTCCGAAACTATATCCTCACCAGCTTTTAGCATTTTTTTTTCTTGATTCCATCAATCCCAGCCACTTCACCCCCATTTCATTCTACCCACAGGTTCATGTACTTTCCCCACACACACTCATTTTGCTCTTCGTTATTCCTAAAAGATATTACACCCCCCTGGCCAATGCACGAAATTACAGCTTCCTTATCTTCATCAATATTTAGTAGATCCTTAAAATATTCCCTTCATCTCCCTGATACCTCCAACTCTCCATCTAATAACTCTCCTCTCCTATTTTTAACTGTCAAATCCTTTCATTCCTTAGGCATTCTCAGCTTATTAATCTAACTCTAAAAAAAATCTGATTCTTAGCAAAATTTGTTGACATCATCTCACCCTCTCTTTCATTTGCTCTCCGTTTACATTCCTTCAAAACTTTCTTAACCTCTCTCTCTTCTCCTCTCCCCATGTACTCTTCCCTACTTATACAAACCTTGTAAAATCCTCTCGTATGCTAACTTTTTACCTCTTACAACTCTGTTTACCTCATCATTTCACTAGTTGCTCCTCTTCCCTCCCCCACCCACCCTCCTCTATCCACAAACTTCTGTTGTGTACCCTGACACTGCATTTTTAAATCTACCGTCATACCTCTTCGAGTTTTGCCAATAATCTCATTACTCCATGTTCTTCCTATAGTTGCCAATATCTTTTCATTTTCGTAAGTTTTGTTCAAGACTTTTTTCTAGTCTGTTATAATTTTATATATTTTTACAGGGACTCTTGGAGATATAGCAGCCATAAGCATTTTTTGGGGGAACATTTAATCAGAATTTTTTTCTAAACCAAAATTTTTAAATACACCTTTTATTTTAAAATTCTTATATTATATGGAGAAGGTATATCAAAAATGTTTTTAATGTTAACAGAAAACTAACATTCTTGGTTGAATAGAATTATTTGTCCTTTTCCCAAACCGTAAAATGAATTTTTAGCAATTTTAAAGAATTTATCATTGAAGTGTTTTGGGTATTTTAGATCATTAGCTATTTCATAAATCTTCAAATTTAATTTTTATAAGAACACTGGGTTGCCAATGCACAACGTTCTCAAAATCATTGATCAGAATACAGAAAGTTTAACTCTGTCATAATGTGAAGAGCAATAATGCTCATAAGGGAAGTTATTTTTTGATTTTCTGTATATTTTAAAATTAAAATCATTGTTTCCCTAAGTAATTAACACATCAAAATAAAGGCAATCATTTATATTGTTTAAAGTCAACAGTAAAATTTATGGATTGAGTTTAACTATCTGATTTAACAAGAAAATGGTTTATATCTATATGGTTTATATCTATATTCTTGGGTATTAGGCATAAAACATTATTAATATATCTGTTCCACTTAGTAATATTGGGAAGGAATTTTTTAAGCAATCTTATTTCAAAATATTCCATTTACAAATTGCTAAGGACAGGTGAGAGAGGATTTCCCATTGCCATTCCAAACTTCTAAGTAAAAAACTCGCCCTTAAACACAAACTTTGCAATAACAATACACAACATAATAAGCTTAATAACTGTAGCCACTGGTAATGGGAAATCGTAATTACTGAGTTCTTCAGATAGGAAACTAAATAAATCATTAACTAGAAAAAATATACATAACGAAGTGACATCAAAACTAAATATATTGTAATTTTTTTTTTTTTTTTTTTTTTTTTTTTATATTTTATTTAAAACAGTGCGATACAAATGACAGAAATATATTAAAAAGATACACGACAAAAGATTACTGCACTAGAATCGCACTTAACCCG